TGCTTCCTTAGCTGTCAGTTGTATTTCCTTTTTGTCACTGGCACTGGGTTCAGGGTCAATTCTGGAGTAAAACTCAGTGTTAAGGTTACCTATATCTCCATACCTTTTCAACCTGTATGTACATAGGGTCGCTAGGAGTCGCAAACGACTCGACGGCACATAACAACAACAACGACATTAATGACATGAAGCTAGTAGGTGCCATTAATTACCAGGTAATTAGGGGTGTTAACACTATGAGTCTGGCAGACTATGACTGCCATGCTGTGTTTATTTAGATGGTTAGTCGCCTTCTGTCTCTGCCAATACATCCCATCCTCCATTTTTCACACATTTCCCCTTTAAAGTGGGGCATTTGAACATATTGCTAGGGAAATGCCTCCTCCAGATCTTAGATTCCTTGTTCCTTATCTTTTTCCTGAGGGGCCAGGATGAGAATGAAACCCCTGGAATGGTGAGAACTGAAGGAGTACTTACTGTCTATTGAGTCGGAAGACTACAGAGAGAACATAGCCCAACAGGAAGCCGATAAAAGGCATCAGGGAAGAGGTGGTCAGCAAGTGTGGTGTCATGACATACATGATGCTCTTGCCCACGATGAAGGCAGAGAGGACTGAAATGACCACAGTAGACAAAAGCATGATGATCATTCCGCCCTAGAAATGAGGACAAGAACAAAAGGCAAAGGTAAAGGTATGTGGAAACATTTACAATTTAAAAAAATAATAGGTATTTGAAATGGTAATTTGAAAGAGCTTTATATTCATTATTATTAATTATTATTATTGTTGTTGTTACTTATTGGTAGTTAGGGAATTTCCTGGTAGACTTTTCCTTTTCTTTTGGTAGACATTTTTATTAATAAAAATTTGGCTAAGCACAGCTCTGAACAGTAGATTTTCAATCAAGTGCTTTGATTCTGATGGAATGAAGCTATCCAGGCCTTCCTCAAAGTAATCTTGTAAATGAAAAATCTCTTTTAAGGTCATCATGTCTGGACCTTATAAATACACTCCTACAATACTGCCATTGCTCCAATTGTTGTCTATTAAAGGTGGGTTTTTTTTTCTTTTTTTTTCCTATAATTATATTTTATTAATTTTCATAAACATTTACAGAGATTTTGGGCTTCCACTCATTCATTGTTGCACTATATTAAAGGTGTTTTTATTTAACTTTTTTATTTAGAACTTGTCGTATTGTCTATAATATGTCTGTTTAAGGAGCAAATGCAATGTGGTGAGTCTGAGTCTCTGAGTCTGATGAGAATTTGCCCTGCTTCATAAAGGGAAACTTACTCCATCAATAATATCCATAGTACCAGTGAGTGGCTTATGCTTAAGGTGACTTCTAACCTTCATCTCAGGTTCATCAACACTCTGATGATAGTCTTTGATTAACTTTTTGCATGGGCAATTGCTATATTTCAAAATGAGTCACCATGCTGATTTCTTTAGGGTATATTCCCAGTAGTGGAATTGGTGGGTCAAATGGTATTTCTATTTCTAACTTTTTTTTTAATATTTTAATGAAAGTTTATAAAGAACTTAGATTTCCATTCATTCATTGTTGCACATTTTTCTCACTGTTCTTCCTCCCTGCAGTTCACTTTTTTCCTTTTGAGAAAAAAGTTCTTTCACTATTATACAGGACCCAGCCCCTTTACTATGCAACTCTTATTCTGGACTATTATCATGAAAACAATACCTAATCATATATTCCTTTTATACAGATCTCTCCCTCATCTGTTTCAATGCCATGTACATTATTTATCTCCTCTTTACTTAGTTTCCCCCAACTACCATATCAGTCCTGTTTTAGAACAGTGGCACTATGCAGTATTTGTCTTTTGTTACTGAGATATTTCACTCAGTATAATGTCCTCCAGAGTCACCCATTTTGTATAAAATTGCATGAGTTCTTTGTTTTTCAGTGCTGCATAATATTCCATTGTGTGAATATTTCATAGCTTCTCTATCCACTCATTTGTTGATGGGCACTTAGGTTGATTCCAACTCTTTGCTATTGTGAACAAAGCTGCAGTAAACATGGTTGTGCATATATCTGCTTGTATGGCAGTTCTATTTTTTTAGGGTATATGTAGTGGAATTACTGAGTCAAATGGTATTTCCATTTCCAACTTTTGGAGAAAGTGCCATACTGCCTTCTATAGTGTTTGGACCATTTTACACTCTCACCAACATTGAATAAGGGTTCCAGTTTCTCCACAACCTTGCCAACATTTTTTGTTTGCTGCTCTGTTAAATTTTGCTATTCTTTCTGGGGTGAGATGATATCTCATAGTTGTTTTGATTTGCATCTCTCTTAGAGCCAGGGATTTTGAACATTTCTCTATGTGTTTGTTAGCCATCTGAATGTCTTCTTTGGTGATGTGTCTGTTAATATCCTGTGCCCATTTTGCAGTTGTGTTGTTTATCTTGTTGTGGCATTCGAGTACTGTATAAATTCTACATGTAAGTCCCTTATCAGACATGTCATTACCAAGTACTTTTCCCCCCAGTCTGTAGCCTCCCGTTTTACCCTGTTGGAGAAGGTTTTGGATGTGAATAGGGATTTGATTTGTGTAAGGTCTCTAAAGTGCTGAAGTGCAAAGATGTCAATCTGGAAACTAAGGTGCACCTGATACATATCATGGTCTTTGCAATTACTTGTTATGCATCAGAGAGCTGGACAATGACTAGGAATGGTAGAAGGAGAATTGATGCCTTTGAGTTGTGGTGTTGGAAAATAGTATTGAATATACCATGGACTGCTAGGAAAACAAACAGATTCATCCTGGAGAGGGTTAAATGGGCTACTCACTGGAGGCAAGGATTCTGAGGCTTCCTCTGACATACTTTGGACATGTTGCAAGGAGGGACCAGTCCTTGGAGAGGGACGTCATGCTTGGGAGAGTGGAGGGACAGTGCAGAAGAGGAAGACCCTCAGTGAGATGGATTGATTCAATGATGGGGGTAATGGGGGTAGGTGTGTCAGAGATGGAGAGATTGGCACAGGATAGTGCAGAGTTTAGGGCTGTTGTACATAGGATTACTATAAGTCCCAGGCAACTCGACAGAACATAACAACAGCAACAAGGTCCCATTTATCTCTTTTATCCTCTCCTGGTTGTAGATTTTTCAGAATGCTTGGAAGACTGTTCAAGTTGTGGAATAGTGCTTCTAGGGTTCTTCCAAGTTTTTCTCTAATGAAGTTTATTGTCCCTGGTTTAATCCTAAATCCTTGATCCACTTTGAGTTGGTTGGTTGTGTTTGGTATTTTTTTTAAATAGTGTGAGGTGTGGGTCTTGCTTGAGTTTTCTGCAGATAGTTTTCCGATTTTGCCAACACCATTTGTTAAATAAGAAGGCTGTAATTTCCACACGTAACTGATTTCATCTCCTGGTCAAAAATCAGTTGACCATAGATAAATGGGCTGATTTCCAGGTTTCCAATTCTATTCCATTGATCTCTGTGTTTGTCATTGTACCAGTACCACACTGTCTTGACTGACCACCACTGCAGTGTACTAGGATTTGAAATTAGGGAGTGACATACTGCCTAACTTGTTTCTCTTTTTAAGCAGTGCTTTGTTTATTCTGGGCCTCTTTCCTTTCCATTGGAGATTGCCTTTTCCATCTTGTTGAAGAATGGAATTGGTATTTGTATTGGGATTGCCTTGAATGTGTAAATTGCTTTTGGTAGGATTGTCATTTTCACAATAATGAGTCTTCCTATCCATGAGCAAGGGTTATTCCATTTCTCCAGGTGTCTTTTTGTTTCTTGTAGTAAAGTTTTATCATTTTCTTTGAAGAAATCTTTTGTTTCTTGTTAAATTTACTCCCAAGTATTTAATCTTGTGATTAGCTATTGTGATGGGTATTATTTTTATTAGCTCCAGTTCTATATTTTCTTTGTCACTGTAGAGAAATCCAATTGATTTTTGTATGTTGATCTTGTATCCTGCCACTTTGCTGAATTGGTCAACTATGCCCAGACATTTTCTTGCTAAATCTTTAGGGTTTTCTAAGTATACTATCATATAATCTGCATAGAGAGATAATTTTAACTCCTTTTTGCCAATTTGGATACCTTTTATTTCCTTCTCTTGTCTCATTGCTACCGCTAAGACTTTTAATACAGTATTGAATAGGAGAGGTGATAGTGGGCCTTGCCTAGTTTCTGTTCTCAAGGGGAATGCCTTAATCTCTCTCCATTGAGAACAATATTGGCTCTTGGGTTTGTGTATATACTTTTTACTATATTGAGGAAATTCCCTTCTAGTCTTATTTGCCTAGTGGACAGAAAGTGTTGTTACCAAGCCAAAGGTGGGTGACTTTTAATCCACAGCCCTCAGGCCTGTTTTTCTTTGTTTTTGTTCAAACATTCTTCTAGGTTGTATAGCCATGGTGTGTCCACTTGCTGTTCAGAGGTAACTTGTGGTTGCTGTGAAGCTGAACACTGTGACACTGATGTGTCAAATGTGTTACTGGTTACCCATAGACACAGTGTTAGGTGGAGCTCCTTGATTAAAACAAGGTTGGAAGCAGGAGTGGCATCCACTGCCATAATAGCTTGCCTCCAGAAACTCTATGAACCTGGAGAAAGGATGAAAATCACACAAGTGTTGAGGACTTTTGTTCATAGGGTCGCTATGTGTTGCCTACGACTCGACAGCACTTAACAACAACATCACTGAATTCTATTGGCCAGGATTTTATTCAGGATTTTTGCGTCTATGTTCATGAGAGATATTGGCCTACAGTTTTCTATTTTGGTAGTGTCTTTACCTGGTTTTGGTATCAAGGATATATTTGCTTCATAGAATGAGTCTGGATGAATTCCATCTTTTTCTGAAATAATTTATATAGAATTGGTGACAGTTTTTCTCTGAATGTTTGATGTTTTAATTCTTTTAAAAATTATTTTATTATTTTGTGAGTGTACCATCAAATCGTATCTGACTGATTCAGGAGGAGATTACCCCCCCTTCTTCAGCAGAGCACCTGGTGGATTTGAACCACATACCTCTGGGATTGCAGTGCAGCTTCTTGCCACTAGGCCACCAGAGCACCCTGATAAATTTCACTTTTAAAATCATCTGGTCCAGGCCTTTTTTTAGGCTGGAAGTTATTTTATTACCTTTTCAATTTCTTCTTTTGTTATAGATCTGTTCAGGTGTTCAATTTTGGTTTGTGTAAGTTTAGGTAGGTTGTGATTTTCTAAGTGTTTGCCCATTTCCTCTAGGTTTTCATATTTGTTTGAGTATAATTTTTCATAATATTCCATTTTAACCTTTTTATTTTAGTTGGTTTCATTGTGACATTGCCCGTTTCATCCCTTATTCAGATGATTTGTGTCTTTTCCTTCATTATTTTGCTAGTAGTTTGTTGATTTTATTGACCTTTTCGAAGAACCAACTCCTGGTTTTGTTGATGGTTACAATTGTTTTTCAGTTTTTTATTTCATTTATTTTTGCCCAAATTTTTACAATTTCAGGGTTTTTTGGAGGGTTTTGGGTTTTCTTGCTGTTATTTTTTAATTTTTTTGGAGATGTTGGGTTAGAGAGTCCATGGTCATTTCTTTCCTGTATTTTAATGTGTTGCTTATTGCTATAAATTGACCTTTCATTACTGCTTTGGCTGTTTCCCAGAGGT